TATAAGGTAAGACCCTTTTTAGTCTTCTTAAATTTGTTTTTTCTTTTCTCAGAATAGAAAACTTTTCTACCAAAGATTTACCTGTTTGAATTAAAGATAATTCAACCTTTAATGGATACATCAATTGCCCTGGTTAGTTCCTTGATTAGGCTGACGCCGTGTTTCAGTAGCTAAGAAGCTGAGTTTGTCGATCAGAAAGGTCGGCGGGTTGAATCCCTAGTTCCGAATCCCTAGTTACTTTTCCCAGCTTCTGCCAACCTAGCAGTTCAAAAGCATGTAAAAAATGCAAGTAGAAAAATAGGAACCACTTTGGTGGGAAGGTAACAGCATTCCGTGCACCTTCAGCATTTAGCCATGCCGGCCACATGACCATGGAGACATCTTCGGACAGCGCTGGCTCTTCGGTTTTGCAACGGAGATGAGCACCGCTCCCTAGAGTTGGGAATGACGAACACATATGTGCGAGGGGAACCTTCACCTTATCAGTTTTTCCTGATGAACAATCAGTTGCTGCTTTTTTTAACTGCCTGGAAAGCTGCTTTTAAATAATTTCATGGCAGCTGATAACTAGCATACCGGCCTGGCTCCCCTTTGCCTCCGACCCAGAGCCCTCATCAGAGTCTTCCCCAGACTCCAGGACTGGCCCAAGTTCCTGCCCAACCTCCTCACTGTCCGAATCTACTGCCAGTTTTGCTGGCCGCTAGCTGGCCACAAAGGCTGGTAACTTTGCTGCCCGGACTTTATAAACAATGTATTTTTCCATGCTGAAGAGCTGGACTCCTTTGGACGTCTGCGGTGATTTATTTGGTCATTTCTGTTTTCTTCTTAGTTCCTTCCGGGAATAATGGCAGAGCTGTCAGAGCTGAGAGAATTCTACGACCCGGACACGGTGGAGCTAATGAACTGGATTAAGTAAGAGGAACTTTACTCTCTGTTTAAAATCACATGCTAGATAGGACGAGTCAATGCCTTTTGTGATCGCAGCTTCCAATTCTGCCAGTTACATACGTAACTTTTTAGAGTCTAAAAAGTGAGCTAGGAAACTTGGTTTAATATAGGCACTAAGATCCCTGCCCAATGCCAGTTTTTCGCAATCTGTAGCCCTCAGGTGAGTGAGAATACAGTTTTGGTGTGGCGGTCACAACAGTTGGGAAGAGATAAAGACTCTTGAAACATCTTCTTAGAAATTTTTGCTCCATTGGACCAAACTTTCAGTAGCTGAAATACTTTGTCGTTTCTGACCATGGTTGGATAGCTTTCAAGACATCCTACACCAGGGTTTGTCCACCTCAGTCACTTGAAGATAAGTGGACTTCAACTCCCAGAATTCCCCCAGCCAACAAGCTGGAATTCTGGGAGTTGAAGTCCACCCATCTTCAAGTGGCTGAGGTTAAGAAATACTGCCTACCCCAATGATGCCATCGCCCAGGTTCTAAATAGGCAAGAAAATTAACAAGCATGAACAGACTACTGCAAATATTTTAGAAAATGGCACACACATTTAGTATGTCACAGACTATTTACAATACAATACAATACAGTAGCAGAGTTGGAAGGGACCTTGGAGGTCTTCTAGTCCAACCCCCTGCCTAGGCAGGAAACCCTATACCATTTCAGACAAATGGCTATCCATCATCTTGTCCTGCCTTGGAGAATAGTTTACAATACAATAGCAGAGTTGGAA